AACAACCAAATGGGGGTTTTCCAAACACAACTGAAAATGACAGAACAACAGCAATGACATAGTCAGACTGCACTACTAGGGGAAAAGTATTTTAGCAGCTATGTATACGAGGTATGGGAATAGGATAGTCTTGAGATAGGAAACTATCAGAAAGCTATTCTAATAGTCTTGGGGAAGGCTGGCTGTTTGAGGAGAGAAAGGAACATATGTAAGAGATATCGTGTATGCCTATTTGGCAACTGTTTGGATATATGGTGTGAGGGAGATTGAGGAGTCCAAAGATTACACTGAAGGATAAACACACTCTTGGCAGTAATAGGCAAGTTTGGAAGAGGAACGTTTTGAGGAGAGAAGGTAACATTAGGAGATCTTTGACATAAAACCCAACTCATCCATTCCTCGTCATCCTGTGTGATTTACTCTCTTGGTCAAAATGAAAAGGGGAGTGAGGCAAGCTCTTATTTACTAGTCATGGCCCTAGAACAGAACCTGGTACCTGGAAGAATCACAAGGTGATCTTGGGGCAGGGTAGATATTCTGGGAGGCTGAGGGACTGACATTTTTCCAGTGGCACCTGTGTATCCACTGCTATGGGTACCCCACTGTGGTTAGGTTATAACTCACCAGAAGGGTGACTCTGGTTCAGAAAGGGAAGAAGGTTAGGAGTTTGTACAGAGGAGGAAGAGGAGATGGGTTAAGGGCCTAGGTAGAATATGAACAAAAGGTACAAGTTACCAAAAGTGAACTAGAAACTTGATATAAAAGCTAACCCTTTGTTTCCACCTAGAAATTTTAAAAAATGCTTCTTAAAAAAAAAGCAACCTGTTGTCCAACTTGATTAGCCTGGGGTCTGAAGGTGGAGATCTGTAGTTCTGGCTGGAGCAGGTAGTAAGGGAACAGAAAACAGAGCAATTCTTCATAGTTGGGTCCTCAGAGATCAAGACCTTCTCTAGCCTCCCACCACCAGCTGTGACCTCCCTAATGAACAGTCTTTTGTTTGTTATCATAGGTATGTGCAGCACATTTCATTAGGGTGTGCACCAGGGAATTTTATTTATTATTTTTTTAAAGGCAAACATTTATTGAATACTTAATCACAAAGGACATTATTTTTATTCATCAAACAAATTAAAGAAACTGAAATATAAATGAATTTAGTTTGGAAAAAATAACAACTGCATATTACTTAAAAAAATAAAATACAGACTTTGCCAAAGGCTCCTTTTAATCAAGCCCTTCCCCTTGTGTTAGACTAAAGAATAACCTTTTCATCCTTATCTTCTTGGCTAAAAAAAGCGTATTTCCAACTAGACCTTGTTTCCCTAGCCTTGCTCTTTGCCATGAAGGGCAAGTGGAAGAGTTTAAGGACTGGTTACCAGAGGCACATAATGTAAAAACTTAACCTTTTTACCCCTTACTTGTACCAGCCAGAGCCCCAGGGCCACTTACTATGGATTGAAAGTGGCCAGAGGATTCGAAGAAGCAAGAAAATGTCCAAGGAGAAACAAAGATCTCTTTTCTCTGACCCTACTATTGCAGGCCAGAGTACTCAAGTCCAGTAGTAAGGGCTTGCTAGGAAATGAAAGGAGGAAAGCAGACAGCCTGGGCTTTGCCAAGCAGAAGGGTCCCTGGTACATGACAGATAGTTCTTTAAAAAAGCATGAATAAGAGGCATAGAGGGGTCCTAACTACAGAGTAATCAGTCATTGGACCTGCTTCCTCCTTCCTTTTGTAGCAAAACCTCATGGACAAAGTGAATGGTTAATAGAGGAAGGAAGCAAGAGTAGCAGCAGTGATGATACTGCAGCCAGGGTTTCCCAGGCAATAAGTAAGCCACCCTGCTGGCAGCAGTCTCTGGGGTCCAGACAACTCCATTCCATACACATGCCTATGAGTTTCTTACACAGCAAGCCCCTATCTTCTGAGTTCCTTTTGTTCCATGGAGAAACTTTCCTTCTGACCCAAGTATTGGAAAATCAAGAAGATTATAGCCACATTTCCTGCAGTTTTCTCCTTCCCAATCATACTAGGAACCTTGCTACCTGCTCAAATCCAAGATGTCTAAAATGGAATCCATTGCCCTCACTCTCAAAATGGCCTCTCTTTTGGGTTGACCTATATCTGTTCATCATGCGAACATTCAGTTGTAACAAAAATCATTTTTAAGTACTCATTGTGTTCAGGGCTTCATGTTAAACAAAGGCCAGAAGTAATGTTGGGAACAGAAAAAGATTTGAATGGGTAATTCTTGCCTTCATAGAGCTTATCATCTTGTAGGAGGAATCACCCAAGTTTTAAATATCGGCATCATTTTGGGTTCCTCCTGCTCTTCTACCTCTGCTATAATATTCTGAGAGTGATTAAGGCCTATCATTCTACCTTCTAGAATTCTTTCATATCTCCATTTCCATTCCTATGACCATTGGTCTGGAATGGTGGTGGTGGTGGGTATTTTCTCTTGACTTTGACACCCTGAAATGATCTTCGTTTTTCCAGATTCTCCTCTCACATCATCTCTAAATTAATATTTCTAAAGTCCAGCTCTAATCCTGATACTCATTTGCCCCCAAGTTATTGAAATCTTTAATAACTCCTCATTATCTACCTAATCAAATATAAATTCTTTGCTGGCATTCAAAGTAAAACAAAATATGATCACATTTTACCTGTTAGCTTTAGTTCTCCTGATACCTGTAATTTAATTCTGTACTCTAGCTAAATCATTCTACTCAATATGCTCTGAGGTCATGGTCAAAACTTATAGTGTTAGGCTAAATTAGAGGACATAGGCAGGATTTACAGAGTGAACAAACAGGTCAGGGTCTATTCTGAGGTTAGTAAAAACATTATGAGAAAGTAGGAGTTTTATAATATATACACACTCTTTGGCACATAGTAGGTGCTTAATAGAGGCTTGTTGAATTGAATGTTGGTTGAATAGGAGGGCATAGTGAAAGGCAACATGGTATAGTGGATAGGGAACTGGATTTGGAATTAGGGAAACCTGGATTCAAATATTTTATTTTTATTACCATTAGTACTGTTACTATGATTATTTGTTGTTGTTGCTGTTGTTATTCCCTATTGTCTGGTTGCTCATTTGAGTAGGCACACCTGCCCCTCCCACGTAGAAAGGGAGGTACCTTGGGTATGGGGTGGGAAGATAATTAGTTCAGTTATGAGCATGTTGATTTTAAGATATCTAAGGGGCATTCAGTTTGAAGTATCCAATATGAAATTGGAGATGTGAGTCTAAAGGTTAGGAGAGGGGTTAAGTTGAGATAGATTTAAGTAGATTTTAGAGATGAAAACTGAATACTCTGGAGTTGATGATGGTGATAAGTTGACTCAGAAAAAAAGAGGAAAACAAAACTAGAAAGAGAAGGACATCCAAACAACAAAATAATCACCGAGGGACTATAAGAGATTTATCTCTAACAATTCAAAGCAGAAACCAAAAGTTTAAGCATAAAAGGAATTAAAGCAGCAGAAATAATCCAATAAACAATTCAACATCAATAAAAATTACACCATAGAGCCTGCATTGGTAATCTCTCTCTCTCTCTCTCTCTCTCTCTCTCTCTCTCTCTCTCTCTCTCTCTCTCTCTGTGTGTGTGTGTGTGTGTGTGTGTGTGTGTGTGTGTGTGTGTGTGTATGTGATGGGCCCCTTTGGTAGCCTGGTGAAGTATATAGATGCCTGCTCTAGATGATATTTTTAAATGAATAAAAATTTAAAAAAATTATATTGAAATATTTATCAAGATGTTAAAACAAAAACCACAACGACCACCACCACAACAAATATTGCTGACTCCAAGTTAAGAACCCATGCTATGGAGGCTCAAGAAAGGAAAAAAAAAGGAAGGAACCTCTGAAAAACAAAGATGTGAAAATTTATCTGTCATTTAAATAAATATTTAAAAGTAGTCTAATAATGACAAAAGTACAAGTTGGATTATATGTAAAACACAAAGCTTGAATATCATTTAGTATAATGAATCATGAAACAGTTACACAAAATGAGGTGACTGAAACTGTGGCTTTTCTCTTCAAGTTTTGTAGGTGTGTGGGTCCAGTGAGATCCACAATTTCAGGCTAATTCATTTACAAAAATGAGAGGTATATGCCAATGATTCTGGAAGAGGTGATTGACCCTAAAAAAGTTATTCTAAAGAAACCTAGACATATGGATGAATGCATCTTATGCATTAAAGTGTATGTAATATGTTGTTGCAAGTTGTAAAAATTCAGCATCTACTGAATTCTTGAAGAGATATGCTCAAGTAGTTAGAAATATTTACAGGAAGCTTTTAACTTTTTATAAACTAACAGATGACAAATCCTTATACTACAAATAATGCCCCCCACCAATATCTTTGAGTTTTCAAGACATAAACTATACTGGAATAAGTGTCATCACAGACAAGAATATCATCCCCAATCACCCATATTTAATACTAATCCTTTCCCCTAATTCAGTTTTAATAGGCATTGCTGTGCCAAATACATATAACCTCCAAACTGTGTAGTATGAAAATTTCTCAAAATATTGAGATCTAATGAGAAACTTCAATACCATATCTGAATAGGATCAAGTACATAACATCCAGTTGCTTTGCCTATTAATGCAATTGTGCCAGGGATACTTTCAGTGAGCCTATAGAAGGTGAACTTACCTTCCATTACTTTGATGCAACTTATAACATATCTACCTCAATATAAAATATTAAACATATGTGAACAATAGTAGGTTAATGACTTGTTTCTGTACCATTTCTACCAGAAGATGATGAAATGTAAGATGAGAAAGATGAGAACTATAATGGCGGCTCACATTTAGATAGTATATATGAAAATATATCTGTATCTATATATTTACTAAATCTTTTCCTTATGACAACTATTTGAGGAAGTTAGTGCAATGATTATTATTTCCATTTTGCAGAAAAGGAACCACAGTCTTGGGAGGTTAAGTAATTTATTTTTAAAAACAAAATGTCTGCCTCCTCCCTTGATTTTAAATAGTCTTCCTCGTTCGTGTGCACTTGGAAGGCCCCAGCAGGTGTGTTCTACTTTTCAAGGACAAGGCCAGGCTGTGCAGATTCTGGGAACTGCAGTAGAACAGGTTGGGCCCCCTGGGAAGCCCATACGTTTTTCATGAATAAACTTCATATGTAGACCATGCTCAGGGCCAAGTGGAAGGAGAAACCAGAGAATGGTTAGATACAAAATTGAGCTTTCTTACTGGTAGAGCCCTCAGTTCTTTGTAAGCTTCAGGGAATGGTAGAGAGAGCTGCTAGTGTGTCCCCAAAGACCCCATCAAGAAATGACACCATTCCTGGAGGTAGACCCTCTTCTGAGACCCTTTGTTTCTTCAGGAACATTTGTCCAGCACCCTGGATGGAAGAGCAGAAGATAAGGTATTGGCTGCTGAGCACAAGCACAGAGTAGACTGGGGAAGAAAAGGAGGTAAGCAAGAAGAGAGGGAAACAGATTGGATGAAAGGATAAGTCTGAATTAGCTTTTTTTTTTTAAAGTTTCTTTAAAATTTATTTATTTTGCTGATTTGCACAGGCTCCCTCCATGATCATTTTTGTTTTCCAAACAATGAAATTTTGCTGGGTTGCCTGCCCCCTGTGGTTTAACTTAGACCATCGCTTACCTTTTACAATGTGGAGGAGAGAGATCAGAAGCCCAAGGGAATGTGACCTCTGTGGAAAGAGCAAAGGAGTTAAAGATTGCATGTAGCCATTGGGCAAAAGGGATCACTTCCTTAAGGACATTAGGGTCATAGGCCATGGTCTTGCTAGACAGGTAATAGCAGAGCCAATGCATATCTTCCTGTCTCAATGTGAGACAGTCAAGACCTTATACTGCAAAGAGTGGTGTCAGTCATTAAAAAACAAACAAACAAACAAACAGAAGAAAAGTGCCCAGGAAACAAAGGGGTAGGCTATCTTGCTGAATACTCTCTAGGAGGAAATATCAGCTGAAATGTTGTGTCATTTGAAGATGGAATGTATGACCTGCTAATTGAAAGCTGCAGACTAGAAACATTTGATATCAATACAATTTACTTAACCAAATTACTGTTATTAGTGGGTAACAATGACAAAGAATTATCCAACATCCACACATTTAATTTCAGTGATTATTATTTACACATGATTTATTACCCCCAGTGCAAAGCACAGCTGTAAGGATCACAGAGATGACTCATGATTTGCTAATGCCAAAATTTTGTTTTGTTTTGTTTTGCCAAAATGATGGTTTTATTGAATCCCCAGGATGAGAGGCTGCTCCTGATGTGTAGCTAGTCCCAAATGCAATGGAGGAAATAAAGGAGCACTGAATTATAACTTTGTTTCTAATAAAGGGTTCAGCCTTGCCTTTGTTCTTCAACAAGGAGCTCTATCCACAAATCTTGAGAAGGATACAAATCTAATGCTTTCTTTAAGATTGTAGTTGGAAACTACAAAGAGGGCATGGTAACACCATGTTACATTCAAATCACTTGAAACATGTTAATTATAGGGCTTCTATCATTTCTAGGAAGACTGCTTTTCAGGGCGTACTAAAAAAATGCACACAATTCATTCTTAAGCCTTCACAAAAAATTTGCATAATTGATATATTCACTGAGCATTGGAGCACAGAAGGTCACATTCTTCTCGTTCTCTGTAATTCTGTATTGAGCAACAGGAACATCACAAAAGTGCAGACCATAGCTGACTGGCTGACCTGAGACACCAGTGGAAGTTGAATATGATGTAGGTTGCAACATGCACTTCAAAAAAAAGTCCTTTAGTAGTGTGGAAATAATAAAAGAAGTTAAAAAACTCTTTCCTAGTAAAATGTGAACTCTGTGTGTGTGTGTGTGTGTGTGTGTGTGTGTGAGAGAGAGAGAGAGAGAGAGAGAGAGAGAGAGAGAGAGAGAGAGAGAGAGAGAGAGAGAGAGAGAGAGAGAGAGAGAGAGAGAGAGAGAGAGAGAGAGAGAGAGAGAGAGAACTTTAAAAAATTTTGTTCCCCCCAGTGCCTAGCACATGTAGGTGCTTAATAATTGCTTGTTCAGTTAGATCAGATTTCAGAAAGGGTGGGCCTACTGGGACAAGAAGAGATTGGCAAATCATAAAAACTAAATCACAGAAGAGCAATTGAAAACAGTAAGTTTCCCCTGAAACTGCTCAGTCCTTGTGAAAGAGTAGCAGGAAATAGGAACAAACACCTGAATGAGATTGCAGTGTCAGGAAAGGAGTTCAGAGAGTAAGTATTGGGAGCAAATTTTATGGCTATCTCCTGGAGAAGACCCTCTAGGCTCATGACTTTGCATTTGGAGGTAAATCTTTTAAACTGAAAGCATCACAGCTGATAACCACAAAAGAAGCCATGGAACTATTGAAAAGCCTTCTAAAGTCTTTAATGAGTTCATTATTAATCTTTTGCCAATTGATTAAGTTCATAGACCCTATAAGGTCCTTATAAGTTCTCTTTTCATTGATTGGCTTCTAAAGTTCTTCTGCTCAGATTTAAATTAGTTCATCAATTATTAAGTAACTACAATATTCCAGTCATTGTGCTAGATACTGGTGATACCAAGAAAAAAAAGGAAAAAAAAACCTCATCCATGCTCTGAAGGAATTTACATTCTACTAGTATGTACTATCATGCACAAGTATATAAATTCAGAATGTATACAAATCAGTTTGGGGTATGGGAGATCACTAACAACTGTCAGGGCTCCAGAGAAGCATGTATAAGAAGTGGCATGGGAGCCGAGCTTGGAAGGGAAATGAGGACTTCCAAAAGGTGGGACAAAGAGGAAGGCCATTCTAGGTCTGGGAATGGAGACAGAAGATGGAATGTAATGCATGGAAACTGGCAACTAGGCCAGACTCACTGGAATGTAGAATGTATATGTGTAATATGTGGCTATGAAATCAATCTAGAAATATAAGATGGGGGGCCAATTAGGAAAGACTTTAAATGCAAATTACTGCCTTTGTCATTTCATTGTGAATGTTATGTCTGTCTTGGGGCAGTTGATGGAGTGCTCAGCCTAGAGACGGGAAGATCAGAGTTCAAATCTTGACTTAGACATTTACTAACTGTGTGACTCTAAGCAACTCAAGCTTAAGCAAGCTCTGTGTGTCTCACTTTCTTCTTATGTAAAAGGAAGATAATAATAGTACATATTTTGTAGCATTCTTGGGAGGATCAAATGAGATAATAATTATAAATCACTTAGCACAGTGCCTGGCACATAGTAAGAACTATATAAATTATTACTATTATTACATAAGATAAAAAGGAATAGCCAGGCTGAGTTCTATAGTAGTGGTGCATTTCCAGAAATGAGATCATAAAACTATTAAGTAAGGTCCAATTCAATCTGTAGCTTTAATACCTAATCACAACCATCAGTGATCTTTCAAACTTCATGACTAAACACATTCCATACACCTTCATATTTTTAAAATAATCTATATAGTTCTTGTTCCTAGTTCTCTTTTAAAACTTATCTTACATGCTTATTTCTTTTTTTTTAATTTGGAAAATTATTTGCAAAAGGTATCCTAGTTTTTCAAACAAAAGCATTTAAAATCAGACTCCATTTGAAGGACTTTCCATATTGAAATCATTTTTTAGGTGTCCCAACACATCATATCAAAATACTTTATCAATTTGGCAATCTCTACCATAACTGAATGTAGACATAATGTTTCCCATTTCTAAAAATGAATGTATTTTGATGATAATATCACTTACTGGACAGGACAGTGAATGGGCAAACAGAATTGAGTTTTAATCCTAGATTTGCCACTGTCCATCTGTGTGAATGCTTAAAAAAACATTTAAGATAAATACAATTTTTGTCTCTATCAATAAAATGAGAAAACATCTGTCCCTCCTCACTTCAAAGAAACAGTGTGAAGACAATAAAATTATGTTTGTGAAAATCCATCTAGCTCTTGGGAGGGATATTTTGTCTTTTTAGTTAACAAAAAACTGAGTTTTCTAACATTCTCTGAAAGTAGAAGTTCAGAGTTACCAAAAGGCAAATACATTGCCAATGCAAGAATTACTTAAGAAGAGAAAAGGCATAGCTATCAATTCCTTTATGGCAGCAATTTCCATCTCAATAACTTCCCAAAGCAAAATAGTCCTCTCTGACCACTTTCTACTGCAGATGTTGTCTCCCTTTATTAGAATGCATGTTCCTTGAGGGTCAGTGTGCTTTGTATTTGTATCTACAACCCTAAGAGTAGTGCTTGGAACCTGATGAGTGCTTAATAAATGCATATACATTCATTTTCTCTGTTATTGTACATAAAGACTGATAAAGGATCATAGGATTTTAGAGCTGGAAGAGACCAAGGTACTTGCCAGATGAAGAGATTCAGCCCCCCTCCCCACCCCCACCCAATTAAAATGACTTGTCTAAAGTCATACAGGTAGTAAATGAAAGGACTAGAATTTGAACTCATGCCATCTGACTCTAAATCTAATGTTCTTTCTACCTTATCATGTACCTCCATGTACCACTAGAATTTCAGAGAGATGACCATGAGTATAGGCAGTCAAGTTGAGAAAACTGGCTTCTTGGTTCCAGAGAAAGGCGCTCACACTCCAAGGAATTCAGGGATATATTCTCTTGCCTACTAACAGCCTCCTCCTATACCTCCTCTCTGTCTTCATCATCCTTTCTCCAGGAGGATAGTAGCCATACAGCCATTTTTTAAAAACAGAAAGTCTTCCTATTCCTACCTAGCACTTCAGTTGACTCCAGCAATGGTCATGGTGGTCTTGGTGATACAATAATTGGGAGAGGATGAAGAGAATCAGGAAAGGCTGTAGACCTACAGGACTAAGAGTGAGAATGGTGGGAAAGGATAGTCTGTGGTTAGTTTGTGTCTTGGCCAACAGGGAACTGGAAACAGGGAGTGGCTGAGCCCAGATTTTCTAGAAATTCATCTTTTCTAGGGCCAGGTTTAAATTTTTCTGTCCCAAGCCAATGAGTTACAAGACAATAAGCTATGAAGCTAAAGTTCTGACATGGCTGAAACTTTAATCTATTCATTACAACTCCAGGGAGTTTTGGGAGTTTCAGGCTTGGCCTCCCCTTGATGTCATTAAAGGGATAGACTAATGTAGAACAGAAGTTTTCTCTTTTCCAGGTTAACCAACACTAATTCCTTCAATTCATCTTCTAAATATATGCATTTGGGGGCACTTAGGTGGCACAGTGGATAAAGTGCCAGGCTTGCAGTCAGGAAGGCTCATCTTCATGAGTTCAAATCTGGCCTCAGATACTTACTGTGTGACCTTAGGCAATTCACTTAACTCTATTTATCTCAGTTTCCTTATATGTAAAGTGAGCTGGAGAAAATGGCAAACTACTCCAGCATCTTTGCCAAGAAAACCTCAAACGAGATCACGAAGAATTGGATGTAACTGACACAACCGAATAACAAATGCATTCATTTAAGATAAGATATGACCTCATAGATGTGAGACTTTAAAGAGTAAAACTTATGAACAGAAAATGAACAGATCATAATGTTTTAACTTATGTTTACACTTATTATCCTCCAGAATATTTTTAGAGGTTGAGGCTATCAAAGTTTCCTTAGATATCTAATATCAAACAAATCATAGACAATATTTCCATTTAATTTAAATACATAGATTAAACAGATAAATACCTTAAAAATGCTGCTCCTACTCTCAGTTTACCTACTATCATTTAGCATGAAACAAATTCTCAATTAATCTGATATTAGAATGTAAACTCCTTGAGAGCAGGCACTATTTTTGTCTTTGTATTCTTAGGACTTAGAACCTCGTACCTGATGTCCTGTAGATGTTTAATAATCCTTTCTGAGTTGAATTGAATTTTTTGACTAATCTTGTGACATTAATGTCATAGTATTTTAAAGCTGTTAGAGATCTCATCCACTCTCCCCTTAGTGTTTATTCTCTCCTGTAAAATTGGAAGTTTATATATGGTTAATGATCTCTAATGTCCCTTCCAGGTTTGTATTTGATGAGACTGTGTGGACAGGGAAAACTAAAGCAGTACCTTTCTATATCAGAATATTCAGGTATATTACGTTATGTTATGTTATGTTATGTTATGTTATGTTATGTTATGTTATGTTATATTATATTACATTATATTAACCTATTGCTTGTCTATTTTCAGATTGTAAACACATTGGGCTAGAATTGTACTTGCTGAACTATTTCTGCTTTTTCTTAGTTTTAGTCCAGTATTTCCTAATTGAGGGGTATGTGTGTGTGTGTGTTGTGTGTGTGTGTGTGTGTGTGTGTGTGTGTGTGTGTTTATTCTCTGTTGAATAATTCTTCTTGGTTCTCTGTTAATTTTCCTTTTTAAGGTACTATATTAAGAAGTTTCTGATCTCAAGAAATGCAGTGGTGAAGACACATGACCATAATGGTAATCTCCCCAAAGTTTATACTCAAGGAATGGGAGGAATGGTTGGCATAGATTTATGATGTATTGGAAACCATTGTAGTGACAAATTAGTTGGCACAAACTAGAATGACACTACCTCTAGATAAGAAAAATACCCTATTTCCACAAGGAAATAGGAAATTGATTGATACTGGTCTATGGGTTAGATGATCATCAATACATAAGAAATGTGTCCCAGAACCAATGAACAATCTTGATGACAAGATTTTAAGAAAAGTTTTAAGGAGTTTGTGGCTCACTATTTAGGGTAGATGTGACCTCAAGTCTCAATTTCTTTGAGACTTTGGGTAGGCAAACAGCAGGGCAGGCCTTCAGGTAGGCACCAGATAAATTGTCTTAGTCCGGTTCTGCATGCCTAAGATGGTTTTTATTGGAGAAAGTGGATTCCTAAACCCAGTGGAATGGATGAAGGTGGTACCATCAGGAAAGGATGATACCCCTACTACTTGAGTATTAGCAACTCTCTTCTGTTGGTAAAGACTCCACTACATCAGTAAAATGGACCAAAGCCTGGATTTCACCTTGAAGGTTCCAAGTAGCCTTCAGAGATTCCAGAAATCAATGGGTTTCCTCATATTTCCTAGCATGTTGGCAAATTGGGTGCTATATCCAGAAGGATAAACTTTACTTCCAGAGGAGAACTCACCTTCATTCTGGTACGTGGTTAGATGAATATCAACAGGATCAAACTCACAGCTAGATGGATCACTTGGATGAAGAACAAAAGTACTTGGAGGACATGACTACAACAGTGCAAATGAAGAACAGCAAGTTGATCTATGAGTACTTGAAAAACCACTGAAACTTCTTGGAAATGAATAGTGAAATCTATGTTCCCCCTCAAAGCAAGAGGTGGAGGACTACTATTACTGAAGAAAGCATGTTTCCCCCCCCCCCCCCCATAAAGGAACATTCTACCTGGAAGCGATATGTGAAATGACTATAGTATAATGACAAAAGGCTTCAATGATACTTTTTTTTTTTTAAAGATAAGTTCAAGGTATAAAGATTTGTGAATGCCTCTGGAAGCCTACAGGTTGTAACAGATACACGGGAATATGTTCCCATTCATTGAACCTGTATTGAAATCATCTTCCTCAACTCTCTTCTGTCAGATGTTGGATTCTGTCTTTCAGTTTTTTCTCTATGTCACTTCCCACCCACTCATGCCTAACTATGCTGTTGTAACAACCCATGTCAAAGGGTTGACTGGCCCCAAAATAATAACCCTGGGATTTGTAGTTCTTATCAGTTTGTAAAGAGAGGAAACTAACACTCAATCAGCCCTTGGTTAGGAGCTCTGAGTTTTTCATATATGGACTACTGCAAGGAGTTTGGACATTCTCATGGATAATGAAGTGAAGAGAAGGGATAGATGGCAATTGATCCATGACAGCAACACCACAATGGCTGTTGCCAGTGTCTGCCACATCTGAAATTCCCTTCTTTAATACCATGAGAGATGACTTGAAAAGTGCAAGGGAAAGGTAAGGTTTTTTATGGGAGGCACTTACTTTAGTAGAGTCTTGAGTCCTGAGAAAAAATCCTGAAAGAAGCAAACCAGCTAGAGGAATGGGAGAGTGGTCCCTACCTCAACTCTGTTTTACTTCTGAATAATTGTGCTTTTTTTTTTTGCATTCTGTTAGTTAATACATTTGCTGCATTTAATATTTCCCATAAACACTCATGGTCAATTCTGTCTTTGTATATTGGTGGGTTCCCCTTTCTTTGCGGCATGAGGGCATAATGGAAGCCACACAAGACAGAGAAGGACCTTTCTGTGCATAGGGAGGAGTTCCACCCCTATCCTGTTGTTAGAAAATTTTGATTTCTACCTGAAGGCATAACTATAACCCATTTCATAACTATACTTCCAACAGCAGAGTTACTATGAATGTAGGCTGTATTTTATAACTCTGCCCTATAGACATGGGCCAGTATTATACTGGCATGATCAGAGAGAAAGTTGCCTTCTTCCCCAACCCCTTTATGTTGTCTTTCTCCATTAGAATGTTCATTCCTTGAGGGCAGAGGCTATCTTGCTTAATTGTATTTGTCTCTCCAGAGTTTAGCACTGTGCCTGTAGCATAGTAAACATTTAACAAATGCCATTCATTAAAGATTATTAAGGTTATTAGTAAAGCATGCTTAAGGAGAGCCAGTTGTCATTCCATTGTGGGTGGATATTCTACTAACTTAGAAGTCAAAGTTCTATTCTGGAAACTGATCTTGATTAAAACGAGCAAAAAAGCAAACAAAAAACTACTTCTCCAAAGATTATAGGAAAACCTTTTGGCATAAGCATTAGAAGGGACAAGAAATGAAACAATGCCTGTGGAAAATATGGCACAAATTAATCAAGGATCCTAGATCAAGTATTGCTTTTCACATTTATTATACTTGTATGACATAAAAAGTGAGAGAATATAATGGTGGCCAAGGGGTTAACTTGTTGGAAAAGCTTCAGAAGGCTTTAGCCAGAAAAATACAGGATCTGAGGGTTTGGGCAGCAGCTGGCTCAGGTCCAAGGATGATGCTCTTTAGTTTTAGAAATAACCTTGGTAGCTGCAGCTTATCTTTAGACCTGTCTAGTCTTATTATTTTTTGCAAGCTTTTTATCTCAAGAAATATAGGTACTGACAACAAGGATCCTTGGAGCAGAGATACTGAAGTCTTTCTGGGCTTCAGCAGGAAGGGGGTTATCCCACAGCAGCCTACAGGAATGCCAAACTAGAAGGGCTCTGGTTAGGATAATCTGATGATGAACTGAGAGGCCAAATATGCTGGATCAGTAAGATTAGAACCAGGATGATAAAAGGAGTCTTTAGTGATATTGTAAAGGAGGGAAAGGGAGGAAACAACATAAGTAGAGAGCATCTTCAACCACTGTTTGCATTACATTTAGTGAAAGGGCATGGAGGAATATCTCCTCTGAGTGTTATGCAAATGAGAAGAGGGAATTGCATAATTTAATATTTGTAAAGGATTTAGCACAGTGCCTGGCACATAGAAGGGACTTAATAAATGCTTATTCTCTTCTTCACTCCTTCTATGAGAAGGGTGGTTTTAGGGACATTTTGTACTACAAATTTATTCACTGTAGTTGTGAGCCAGAGCTATGTATGCCAATAAAGCACTTAAATAAATCCGGGTCTCCTCTATGTTATTCCTTACCCTTTGAAGTTACAATGGAGTAAGGATCTGGAGCAACAAAGCTAAGACATAATACAGACAGCACAAATGCCATAAGAATAGTACAAATAAAGTATTGCGGAAATTCAAGGGAGAGAGAAAAAAATTGTGTTAGATGTATGTAACCTGGGATTATTGTAGAATCACAGAATCTGAATTAACAGGGATTTTAGAGGTTATTTTATCCAATCCCCAGGCAACACATTAATTCCTTCTACAATATTCATTCAAAGCTCCAATCTGAGGTCTTCTACTGATGGGTAGCCCATTACTTCTCAAAGCAAGTTGTTTTATTCTGGGCTACTCTAATTATTAGGAAATATTTTCCTTATATTGAATTGAAACCTGCCTCCTCAGAATTCCTATCCCTTGGTTCCAGTTATGTCCCAGGACCCAACTTTTTGTTTGTCCTCATCCAAAGAGGACCAATGACATCATGGGGTGATGCTTTAACTTGCGTGTGAATTGGATTTAAGTGAGGGAGAATTACATGAAGTCATCAGCTTCATTCTCACTTTCAGAGTCATCAAAGTCCAGTCACAAGACAAAAGTCAGGATGACTTGTGATGGCCTGGGATGCAGCAGATGACCTTGGTGTCTTCAATGTCTGACCAAGCTCTAAGCTCTCCACGGTGCCTGATTCAGCCATCTTCATGGTCCTTGAAACAAATTGTTCTCATCTGGCCTGGTGTGTGTTTCCACATGCTTGGGACACACATCCCTCCTAATTCGCTGACAGGTAATTTGAGACATGTCCATTACACTTAACCTGGTTTAGCCCAGTGGACACTGTGCATGTTACAGCTTTTTGGAGCCACAGGTGAGAGTTGGGTGATGATGGATACCAAAGGTGGATGAGCAGCCCTTAAGAGGACTCATAAACTCTTATACCAGAGGTGCTAGTTCTTCTTGAACACCCCATACACCCTCAGGGCCCAAGTAAAACAAGTCTAATCCTTCTTCCACATAACAATCTTTCATATATTTGGAGATAATCGTCCTGTCCTCTCTAAATCTGTTCTCCAGGCTAAACTTCCCCAGTTTTTTAACCAATTGTTGTATGGCATGGTTTCATCTCTTTACCAGCCTGGCCACCCACTTTTAGATATCTTTTAGTTTGTCAGTGTCCCTCCTAAAAAGTGATTTCAAGAAATGGCTACACTACTTCACAAGTGATTTGATCAGGAAAGAACATAGTAGGACTCACTCAGAACTATTAATGCAAACTATGATGACTTTAGGGTTTTTAAGAATTCACCATCATTTTCCAGCACAGAATTTTGACTTCCAAGTTAGTTATCCATCCACAGTGGAATGACACCAGGCTCATTTTTAAAAATGGCATGTCATACTTGTATTGAGTTTACCATCCACTTAAATCTATAGCCTTTCCCAAATAAATGACTTTCTAATCATAGCTCCCTTATCTTGTACCTGTTCTGATGAACTTTTGAACCCATGTGCAAGAATTTATCCCAATACATTTCACTTTAGCTTCAGTCTTCCCTTTTAGTTCATCAGTATATATTTAGATCCTAGTTATGTAATTTGATGTATTAACTGTCTTTTCAAGCTTCATTACTTCCACATAAATAATGAATATGCCATCTATATCTATTTCCAAATCATTGAAAAAAAGGTAACTTGAATGGCAACAAAGACAGAGCCTTATGACATTCCATATATGCTTGCTATGAGGATGATATTGATTAATTCGTTAATCACTACTCTTTCTTTGAGTCTGGTTGATCAACCAATTACGAACCCAGTCAATCCACCTGTCATATATTATATACATATATATGTCTTGCTCATAAGAATTCCTTATTGAAATTCCTTCATGAAATAAAAAGTAGTGTATAGTTCCTAGTATATCGCTCTTATCTACTGGTCTAGTAACTATGTCAAAATCAACCAATCCATCAACATTTATTAAGTACCTTCTGCGTGCCAGACACTATGCTAGGTATTGGGGAAACAAAGACATAAAACAGTCCATGTCATAAAGAACCTTATGTTGCATAGGAGAAGGAAACACCTACACATATCAACGTATGGATAAAAATTGAGGAAATGTACTTCCCTCCTTTAATTGGAGATGTAAGGCACTCTGGGTATGGAAAGTTAAATATGTTATCAAACATGGTAGAGATTTCAGCTGATTTTGCTTAACTTTTTTTCACCATTACATGAAAAGGCTCTTTGGGCAAGGGAGGAGGAAGGATATATGTTATGATGACTAAATGACTAATATATGTGAAAACAAAACTAAAACACTCCCCAGGAATGATCAAGGATTCAAATTATTATGCATCTAGTAAAAACACATCAGTATTCTCTGTAGTTGTTCAAACTGAGAACGTATTAACAATTTCCTGAAATATTGAGCCAAAGTACTTGCCAGTTGCTTAAGTGAATTGGATCTTAATTTGAATTGGTATTTAGTTTAAGTGACATTTAATGATCAACTTAAATTTTGTTCATCTCAAAACATTGAGGATACTTTAAAACCAGAAGAAAAAAAAAAGATGTAGTTCCTAGATAATGCAGG